AGTATTAGTTTCTCAGGAAAATTAAAACTACCTATCTTATTCTCCTTCTATAATCTATCCGAATATATGTTAAAAAATCGAAAATGTATTTATTTTGTTAGAAGTGTGATGGTTTTTTATTGTTTTATATTTTGAGGTATTCAGCATCGAAAGCCTAGAGTATTGCGAGACTTTAATCTGTTATCATACGCTACAGCTTGTCGATTGTATTCAATTAGTATGCACGTCAAGTCGACTATTTCGTCAGGGTAGATGTCATCAGCATTAATTTTCAATCTGTCAGTTTGTTAACATTGTCCTTTGTCATTCAGTTCTATTGTCTGCACTGCAAACATGTTTTATTCTTTCTAGTTCAGTAATTACTTGACTAGCAAACCTATTAAACTTGCAATATATATTAGTGCCCTGGATATAAGCATCATCTCCGATCTTTTCAAATCAAAGCGAGGGTAGTAATATAGGATGACCAAAAAGGATTATCTTCAGATTTATATTTGAGAAAAATATCGCTTCAAACATTTATGTCCACTTAATAATTGAATTAATACATACCTGAATTCTCCTTAATTTTTCTACAAAATTTCTTATTAAGTTAAGTGCTTTTCTGGCGAATTATATTAATGTTCCATTGATATTTTGTTGATGAAATAACCTATTATTCTACTACTTAATTTCTGTACCCCATCTCTTTGTTTTTCAGAACGCAGCCGCAGGTTTGCTAGTACCATTAGCATAAACACATATGATATTATATGACACCATGTGGAATATATACACTATTCTTATGGAACTTTATCTATATACCCTTGTCCAATCTTTCATATATGATTGTTTTACATAATTCCGAATTGGTGCTGATGGCAGACATAAGGAAGCCTCCGCAGTTAGACATTATGCGCTTGGAGCATTTTTAATACTAAATGCTTTCTAACTGAAGAAAGAGTATTGTTATTATTTTCCCCATTAGTTGAAGACATGAACATAAGAGTATTGTAATTAATGTATCATGATGAAGTATGAATATGTTAAATATGGAACTAAGACTATACTTAGGTACACGATTTTCTCATTTCTTGATTTTCAAAGAAATGGAAGTTTTAAATCCAATGCAGTGAAGGTAACTTTGTATTTCCTGAAAGACTTATTTACAAATCGTTGAATCGAAGATTGTTAAATTTTTATATCCCATGTCTATTCAACAATAGTAATGATATAAAGTACAGCAGATCCTGTATAAATGTTTCTGTTCTTGTATTTTTAATGGTTAAAACTTTAAATACTAGAAAAAATTTCTTTCTTTCTGTTTGTGCAAAGTTCACATTATAGAGAACCCACTTATTGCACAAAAATATCAAAATAAGCAAAATGCATCTGTATAAATTTATACTGAAAATAAAACTGTCTTCACTTGATACATGTATTCTCACAGATTTTCCTTTTCTTTACTGTATCTAACGAATATTAAAGAACAAGTGAAGATAGCTTAAATAATTTCATTCCCTCTCATTTTAGAAGCAAAAACGAATAGAGGTTACCTAAGCCGTTGGATATAAAAATTGATGATGATGATGTTCATTAAGAGTCAGAAAGTATTTACATCAAAAACAACATAAATAAAAGAAATCAAATATTGCTACAATAACATAAGAAGTATTAGAACACCTATAACATAGATACAAAAAGTTAAAGTTTAATTTTATTATTCAGCAGGTTAAATCTTTTTTCTTTGCTTTTTGCCCACGAAGCAGCCAATTAAGTTTTGTATACTTGTTTTTGAGACTAACCCTGAGTTGCATTGGCTGAGTTGAAGTTGATAGTTTTGCTTTTAAGTTCTTTATTGGAAGGTTTGTAGGTTAAACGAAATCGAATCTTTCTTAGTTCATTAGTTAGAAAGCCTTTTTCGTTTATTGATAGAGAAAATATGGTATGTGGATCTTGAAAAAAAATTAAAATTGTGCTGTGTCTTAAGCTCCTTTAGATCCTACCGTACAACATTAAATAAAAAATATTAAAATTTTTTCATATTGCTGCAGCATGGATGAATTAATTATTTGATTATAAAATGAAATCATCAAATTTTTTTACATTTGGAGAATTTTTCAAAAAAAATCTGAAATTAAGTTTTAATTATTACTAGTAGATGACCCGGCGAACTCTGTTCCGCCTTAAAGGCAATAAATAAGCAGTTTTTTTTTAATTGGAAAAAATTCAAAAAAAAAAAAAATACCTACATTAATCATTCATAATTTATTTGTGTATTTTAGTACACATCGCAAATTATCTATTTGTTGACCTCTGTTGTTCGCTCGACCTTCAGTCCTTAAATTTGCAGTATTTCGTATTCTTCTTGCATTACGGCTTTGTCGGGAAAGATTCGATCGTCTTGGTCGCGGCATTATTAAAAAACTAAAAACTCAAATTTTCAACCATACCATACATTATAATTGTTAATTATTTATTTTGTTGAGTTTGCAACAACCAGGTAGTTTTATTGATTAAAAACGATATTTATTGCAACACAAACTTATATTGATCTAATACAACTTTTAAAAACACATTAACTAAGTTATATTTCTATCTGTTAAATTTTAATAAAATATTTTCTTATATCAAAAATTTGATAATTTCAAAACCTACTTTGTCGTGAACGGGATAAACGGGTATCCTATGTCCTTCTCCTGGCCTTAAACTACCTCCCTGCCAATTTTCAGCTAAATCGGTTCAGCCTATGTCCTTCTCCTGGCCTTAAACTACCTCCCTGCCAATTTTCAGCTAAATCGGTTTAGCCGTTCTTGAGTTATAAGTGGTGTAACAATAACACATCTTTCTTTTATATATATAGAAGAGATAGATATGTTATTCTTAATAATAATAAACACAGTATAAAGCAAAATCAAAAATAATTGATTTTTTATAAAATGAATATGGCCGCCATGATCTGACCATGAATTTGGGTAAAATCATATATTTGGAACAACTTTTTCTGCTACGCTATATGTCGATACAGTTTGATTTTAAAGATATCGTTCTTTTTGTGAATTGCCCGATGGTGATTGTTGTTGTCATTTGTGTAACAAATGCAAAAATTTTATTTCAACTTATGTAATGTATAATTACATCTATACAAATTAAGTTGGTGCCTTCATATGTTATAGTTAGAAATTTATCATAATGATAATTTGTCATTATGATAATCATTATGATAATTTGATGATATTTCCTTCAACAAATATTCCACATTAATATTTTTGAACCAAAGAATCATCCGCGCAATTATATCACTTCGTTTGGAAATACACAGTATTTTCTCTTTATCATTTTTTAAATTAAAAAAAAATACAAAAAAATAAATAGAAACTCAAGGCAATAAAAATTTTAAACTTATTAATAATTTGTAATTATATTTTATAGATAATAAAATATGAATACCTTTTAGTACTCGTAAAGATGTAATGAAAATAGAAACTTCTTTCTAATGCCTTGAACTCCCGTAGAGCGAAATACTTTCAAGATTTAATTATTGAAATTATAGTCTTTGTAATGGAAGATTAAACAAAATAAAGAAAATATAGATAAGTTTAATATTAGTTAATTAGAACATAATGCTTAATTTAAATTTGAATGTATTTTGAAAGTGTTTTAAAAAGAATATTTATTTTATTGCAAACTGAAAAATATAGTACCTCATTGAATAGAGATTAAAATAAATTATATACTTCGACATTAGAAAGAGTGCTATTTACGATTCTCACTCAAAAGATTCTCACCTACTTTTCCATATTGTATCTGAAATAACTTAACTCACTAAGAGAGCACTACCAAACGCATTTACTGCACTTTTAAGTCTAATTTAGCAGTTTCAGTTGAACTCAGTTAGTGAGAACTTCAAGAAGTGAAGTATATCAACATTGGAAAATAAAATAATAATCTCCATTAGAAGATAAATGTAATATTTATTACGTATTTATTCTTTTTATAAATGAAAACGTTATATTGACATTGTATAATCAATTATTTATATTATAGAATTTCTTTTTTTTTTGTGTTTTTGTTTTTGTATATAACGCTTATATACATAGATCACAACAATTGAAATAGTTATTAACAACTGTATGAAAGCATTTGTTTACTGTTAAAATAGTAACACTTCGCAGCGAAGTTGCAAATTCATGTGCAAGATGTGGTACCGCGGTGAAAAGTGGTCTCAATTAGTGTGAGCACAGCAACGTCAGCCACGGAAGCCGCATCTGAAGTAGCAACAAACGAGCTATTGTATTTGTATCTACTGAATGAAATGCAAGCTTACTTTTCAATATATTCAAGTTTTAGTATTTAGTAGTAAGCTCGTACGATTGTGTTCGTCTGCTTTTTGAAGTGTAAGTTCAACTTCAACAAATATCTTCGACATTTGAGTGAACGCAACGGTTAAGCAATGACGGTGGTGTTTAATCGGCAAGTGTTAACAGAAGAAATTAGAAAACGGTCCGATAAATATTATTTTTTAAATACACTTAAAATTTAATGTAGTTAAAACTACTTATTTATAGTTCTTAAAATTAATAACGTTCATCATCGAAGTGAAAATGATGTGTTTTCAATATTTTAAAAGATTTAACTAAACAAAATTATAACTCGAAAAGCTATAAAATAGCGAAATTTAGTGTATTTAAGTTAACATCTATATAATTCGGTAAATAATTGTTTAAATCAGTTGTGGTTAAGATTATTTTATATTTGTATACATTCTTAAAATGCAACCGCAGTATAAGACTAACATAAAACGTATCTCCTAGAGAAAGTATCTTTACTTTAAATAAGGAAAAAACTACAAAAGTTCATTATTAACAATATGGTTTTAAGAAATGTGAATATTTATTAAAAGTTTTGACATACAAAGAAATTAATTGCTTTAAGCTATTTTTAAATTTAAAAGTATTTATTTATTTAAAATGTGAGAGTTAAAATCAAATTAACTAATATTTTTTACAGACTAAAACATCGTTAACATCATGTTCGTACTACTATCTTCAAATAAAGTGAATTTGAGAACATGAGAAAGTGAATGAAACAAAATTTTGCACTTAAAAATATTAACTAATAATATTAAATAATGCATAACCGCAATTAATTTTACTGAATTGGTACCTGAAGTAAACAAATTATTTAACCGACAGCAAAAAATTGCATATATAACAAATTAAACGCTGGTTTCGTAAAAATGGTAACATGCAAAGTGGATACAGTCGCTGTTCCGAAAATGAATTCTATACGTACTCGTAAGCCGTCAAGCAGCAACTCTTCTGGTATTCGACTTCTGGAAGGAGATCATCTTGAAACCTCTTCAAGCGTTAGCAGAAATTCAATATACAAACTTAAAATTGATCTAATGTACGATGATACGAGGTACGTAACTAACAACCTTATAATATTATTAAAAAAGTTTCCATTCCAATAGTTACACTTACTTTCGCTTTAATCTTTCTCACTTTATGTTTATATAACATGAAGTTAATCTGAAAAAAATAGCAAGAAAAACACGAAAAACAAAACAAATTAGACTTAGCTTTGCCTTGGTTTTAAGTACTCTGCACACACATGTTTATATTACATATTAATTAAATATATTATATATCGTACTCACCTCTGGAATTTTCTAGAATCTGTAGTTTATGTCGGTTAGATATGTAAAAAAATTTTTTGTTTTAGCTGTGTGAATTAAAATTATGATTATGATTTTGTATAAAAGAGAAAAAAAATTTTTTTTTTCAATTATTTATAATATTACACTCAGATTCATCCAAAATTTACAGGTTAAAGATCAAATTTCATTTTGACATATTCTTCTAGTTTTCAAATCATTTTTAACATTCTACTTCATATTACCACATCATATTCATATAACCATAGACCCTAATATGATTTCTCTTTCGATTGAATGATGAAACATGTCGATATTGCAAACTCCAAGTTTGTATTTCCGATCTCGGATTATAATATAATAAATAATAAATTATAATAAAGTTTTATATCATTTTTCAGTAAGAAAAAAGTCATATTAAAAATGATTATATATAATCAATGTATTCCTACCTGTATCACAAAAAATGACAGGCGTAATTTATTCTTTTCGCAGTAGTGTGAAGGGTTTATTAAATAACAAAATAATTTTTTGTAGTACTATTACATTATTACTTAATTTCATTGCATATATTCTTCAAATCTAAAAACTCAAACTTGAACTTGATAAATAACAATTATATTTACTATATATCATATAAGTATTTATATTATAATTATTTAATAATAATATATCTTACTACATCATCCCTTAAGTAATGTTTTGGTTCAGCTCGATAAAAAATATTTTTGAATACATAATGCCGTAATTATTATAATTATTAAATTATTATAATTATTAAAATAACTTTCTACTTAAAACATTGCAGACTATATTGCAATATATTTCCAAATATTTTTAATATAAAATAAATTTGGTATATGTTAGTTTTATAGGTAACAAATAAGTTATTATTCAACTCTGTAAAAATTTAAAGACACCTATTATCTAAGAAGAAAAACTATTCAATTTAAATGTAATTTAAATTCAGGAAATACCAAATATAATATAAATTGTATATAAATATTGACTCTAGCCAATTATGATGATGATCTTAACTTTGTAACCCAAAAAACCGGGAGCAGTACAAAGGTTTTCTTATGGACTACATTGAAAATAAAAATGACCACAACTCAGTCTATAATTGGAAATAATGATTAATTGAAAAGTATGAACTTTAAGGCTTTTTTTCTTGTTTCCATTATATTCATGCTTGATATTAAAGTTAGCATTTTGTAAAAATATTAATAGAAGAAGTCTAAGCTTGCAAGGCACCCAAAGTTGCAGTTTTACAGAGAAATAAATTTGACCAATGTCAACAATATTAAGAAATCTTTCAAATATGTAATAACAATTTTCATTAATGTCTTAAAAATATATATAATTAATTATTATAATTACATTAAAGCCATTATTATTTCCCGTAATATAAATGATAAAAGTAGGAGGTTACAATTATTTTAATAGACTGTCGAAGTCATTCAAAAAGTATAACTTAAATCTATTAACTAGTTAAATAAAGGGTGTTATTATTTAATTTTTGATTCGTAGAATTGTTACAAATCTTGCCTTACATATTTTTACAATATCAAAACAATGAAGAACTGTGATGTAGCCAACATTTTTCCAATGGGAGTATGAAATACATACAAGGTGAGATGAAAAAACTGCAACCAACTTCAGACTGCTGTCATTTCTAAACCGCTCGTCCCACAGCTGTCAGATTTATTCTAGTGACAGCTCATTATATTGTTTACAAGCGCACAAAAGCATTTTGGTGGGAATTTTTCAAAAAAAAAGTTATTTGTGATGGAATTCAAGCGTGATAGTGTGATTGCTTTGCATTTGGCTGGAAAACCACAAGTGGCTATCGTTAGAGCCCTCCAGCATTTAGAAGTGAATAAATGTTTTGTGTCTCGTACCATCGCTCGTTACCATGATACTGGTAGCGTAGCCCGACGTCAAGGAAGTGGACGAAAAAAAACAGCAACATCGGCAGAAATGGTTCGAAAAGTGAAAAAGCGAATTGAACGAAATCCGCGTCGCAGTGGACGAAAAATGGCTCGTGAGCTGAACATATCGCAATATGCCATTCGGCAAATATTGAAAAATGAGCTTGGACTAAAGCCATTCAAGTTCCAAAAAGTGCAAGATCTTACTGATGCGCAAAAAAAAGTTAGACTCGAAAAAGCTAAAGAGTTGTTTCGCTTGGCCGAAAGTGGTGAACTGCCGAATTTGGTTTTCTCCGATGAGAAACCATTCGTTATCCAGCAGTTTGTAAACAAACAAAATGATCGTGTTTACTTGCCAGAGAGGTCAGCTGAAAATTTGCAACTTCGGTTGGCCATCACAACTCAAAAGCCGGCCATGGTGATGGTGTGGGCCGCCATAACAGCCGATGGTCGCTCGCCGCTCGTATTCATCGACCGTGGTGTCAAATTAAATGCGCAAATCTATCGCGAAAATATTTTGGAGGGAGTTCTGAAGCCCTGGGCACGCAAACATTTCGGCCGCAGACCTTGGACATTCCAACAGGACTCAGCACCATCGCACTCAGCACGCGCCATCCAAGAATGGTTAAGAAATGAGGTTCCTCGCTTCATTTCCACCGCACAATGGCCACCAAAATCTCCGGATGCCAATCCGTTGGACTATTGTGCCTGGGGTATTTTGGAAAGCAAGGTTGGAACTAAAAAATACCAAAGTGTCGATCATCTCAAGCAAGCGCTTCGCCGAGAATGGGACAAAATACCGCAGAGCCACTTTCGGGCAGCGTGTGATGGTTTCATTGGCCGTTTGAAGGCCATAGTTCGTGCCAAAGGTGGCCAATTCGAACAAATCTAAACCGATTCTCAAATTTGATGTTATTTCCGACATTTTTTGCTTTCATTCAATAAAATTTAAAAAAAATGAAAAAATTATGGCGTTTTACTTTGTTGCAGTTTTTTCATCTCACCTTGTATTATACTTATGATACTTATGAGCTTTCTTATAAAATGTTAGGCAAAAGAGTTCTATTTTTGAAATTTTTTCGAAAATAATTTTTAAAAGAATATTGGATATATATGAAAAACTGTATACTATAAATTTCGAAGTGATGTTTTTTTAGTTTAGCTCATTAACGATAGAAAGAAAAGTTTTTAAATACCAAAAATTAAAATTTTGTTTATTTAACATAAAATTAAAGTTATAAGAGATATAAAAGATATATAAATATAAAACATAAGAATATAAAAATAAATCTTTTATACAGAGTACAGGCAATTAAATTTTTATATTCCTACATTTTATATTATATGATTTGTAGTTTTATTAATCAAATTTTATGACTTAAGTGTAATTTGAATAAACAAAAATGTATAGGTTGAGATTCGGCCATAGAGTCTTATTTTAATATTGTGTTTAGCACATAACTAATACTTATTTTTGTAGCTTAAAAGCAGTCACTTTCAAAACATTTTTTATTTTTAGCATCAACGTTTTATTGGCCATACATATGCTATATTGTATATTGTAATCGCTATTGTAAAAAAAGTATTTATGCATTAACATAAAAAATACAGAAACACTTGACAGAAGAGTAAAGTATTATTTTCTTTTTCAAAGTTTGATTTTAGAATTGATAAATAAATAGAAAACTACATTCAAACAATATTGTGATTATAAAAAATATTATAACCCCAATGGAATATTATTACTCAAGTAATAGAATATGCTAAATCTATATGTAGAAATCTAAAATAACGCTATCAAAAAAATAATTAATTTATATATATATTATAAGAATTTATTTTATAATTAAAATTTTAAGCATTTTTTGACCTAAAGGGTAAATATATGCCACTTCAGTCCCTTCTGTATAACACTATGTTATGTATAAATATATGATATGTGTAGAATGCAATATACTCTTGAGTGAATCTAGTACAACGAACACAAGTTAAATAAATTATATTACTAAAAATAATATAATATAAAAATTATATCATTATTTATTAAATAATTCAATAAATAATTGAACGTATTTTATTTTTAATTTTTGAGTTGTTGCGTTGAAACTATTTTAAAGTATGGTCGTTTTTGTTTTTTTTTAAGAATTTTAACTTTTATTTCGAGTATTATTTTTAGTATTTAATATTTTTAAAAGTATTTCGGTAAATTCACTTTTTGCTTCATCAAAAACGACTTCACTTTAAAATAATTGAATGTAAATAGATAATAGAAACTGCAGCAACAATATAAGAAATCGATAGGTCTGTATCACAAATAACAACTTTTGTATAAACAGTTTTAATACTCTATTAACTCATCATATGATACATTTAGGTTTCCAAAATCGTCTTGTACTACAAACAGTAATCAATTAATGTAATTAATGAATGAGTGTGCGCTTAGTTTTTATATTACAATATTTAATCACAATATTCGTTTACCGTCACTTAACATTTTTTAGAAAAATACACAAGTTTAGATTGAGCTTAATGATTTGAAATATACGAATATATCAGTATTTAACAACACTTTACTAAAGTTATATATAATTAGCATCGATCTTTCTTAAACGTTTCTCAAATTGTCGTTGTTAATAATTTATCTGTTTATCTGTTAAGTGTAGTTTAATAATAGAAGAGTGCAAAATTCTTAAGTTTCAAAGGTTAAAGTTCTGTGAACAATTAACAGACCACCAGCAACAGAAGAGAAAGTGTCAAGGTATTAAATTGAAATTTATTTGCTGAATTTATTTAATTATTCTATTGATTATATTATCTTTCAATAATGTTTTGAATATCTTTTTGGTTCATAAAAAAATATTTCCTAACAAAAAAAAACTTTTATTAAAATTTTTGTACCGTTATATAAAAAATACAACTGTATCTTAAAAGAAACTCTCATAAGTAATAATGAATCGATGGTAAATTCTTCACTTTTAATGACCCAATTGGTTTGGCACTAAACTTTTTAAATGCTACTCATCTTAAGTGTTGGAAGATAAAGATATAAAATAATTGTGTCAAATAGCGGTAGAATCATTCAAAAATTATTAAAATTGTATATGAAGTGATATTGTTGAATTTACATATGTCACATTTACATATTTATTCTCGACTTGGTGTTTGTGTAGTCTTTCACACAGTCAGATCGAAAGACCAAAATGCTGCGTTAGGTGAAATCGATTCTGCTTCCGAACACGCAGTTTCTTTTAGGTTTGCTAATTCAAATAAAATTATTGAAATCTATTTACGGCGTTCTTTGAGAAAATACTGTTTAGAAATAACAAACGAAAAATCGTACAACATGTATCATCGTTAAAATGAATCTTAAGTATTTTAAAAAAATATCTTATTTCAAATTTATTTTAATAAAAAATATACGTTTAACATATTATGTACTCAACACATGACTTTAATAAAGACACTTATACTATAAGTCTTAATTATGCACAAGTTTGCAAGTTTAAAATTTACATATAGATATTGAAGTTAAATTAATTCTGTTTAATTTAGTATATAAAATTTATTAAAGCCTGAATACTTGTGGAGGCAAAAAATAAGAAACATTATACAAACGACTTCGTCTTTAAAATTGCTTAAAAATATGTTTTCAATTAAAAAAAATATATACTAATTAAATAATTAAATAAATTTTATTTAATTACTAAATAAATAATTAAATATAACTAGTTTCCTATATACATATAACATATATATGTATGGATATTTATTCCATAATATTTGGTTAATGTGTACATAATTATTTTTTTGGAGCGCGAGTACCAGGAGACTCATTTTAATAAAATGTTTACGAAATAGTGTTAGATGAAAGAGAAAGAGGGAAATTATAACTTTAAGATATTACTATGTTTATAAACAGCTTCAAACTGATGACGAAAATATAGCAGAATATTTCTTATCATCAACATTTAGTACATCTGTGCAACCAATGAATCAAATCCCTATAAACACACTAAAGTTTCTATCCTGCTACTTGTCTAAATAATCGTTGGCGTTGGCGAGCTGTATAATCAGGACTATACCGATATTGTAAGAACTAATCAAATTCATTCATAAAATTTTATCTGAATTGTAATAATTGAATATGAACACTGCAGCAAATAAGCTTAAGATAACTATGAAGACATTGTTGCCTATGTAACATCAGACATACCAAAAAAGAACGAGAATTTGAAAAAAAAACGCAAAATATTGATTTTTAATAATTTTCTTTATTATCGCCTTCAAAGCACTCTTCTCCTGCGGCAATACATGCATGCCAACGCTTGATCCAATTTTCCATACAAGTTTTATAGGCCGCCGAAGGTATGGCCTTTAGTTCACGCAGCGAATTCTCTTTTATGGCCTCAATGGTCTTAAAACGCGTCCCTCCCAATGGCAATTTGAGTCGGGGAAGAGGAAAAAGTCACACGGGGCCATATCTGGAGGGTACAGTGCTTGGTTGATGATATTGGTGGAGTTTTTGCCCAAAAACTGCAACATCCAACGCTGTATGAGCCGGTGCGTTATCGTGGAGTAAAATCCATGAGTTTTCTTTCCATAAATCTGGCCTCTTTTTGCGAATGGCCTCACGCAAACGACGCATAACGACCAAATATACTCCTTATTGACCGTTTGACCATCCGGAAGGAATTCATAGTACTGAGCAAAGATTTATAGTACAAAAGTAAAAAAGTATAAAAAAATTCAAATAAAAATATACAATTTACAATTCTTTTTAAATTTTTTTTAGAGATAAAAACATACATTCATTCATTCATTGATACATGTTGAGTCTGTTGCGAGTTAGTGCATCTGGCACTTTTACTCTTTAAAAGCTTCGTGATTCTTCGATGACTGATCTAAGATCCACATACCGCCCCATACTGTTAGAGATTATTCTGAGATTAGATAGTGTTGAGTAGGGCAGTCTGTCGGTTTTCGCGAATAGCTTTAGGGCTATCCCCCTTATGTATTTTTGCTCAGGTCTATTCTAAGATCTCTAAGCATGTCATTCGTGTGGACGTATCAAGGCATTTTGAAGAGTCTTCAGGTAACGTGACTTTAAGCAACTTGCAGCTTCTGGATAGTAGAGTTGACAGCTTTGCTATACGCGACACACATACAGAAATTAAAGAAAGTGGTTCTAATAAGCGTAAACCGTAGATTTGTTAATTTGATCTGTAGCATTAGTATTTCATTTCCGAAATTTTATTTAACAGAGAAGTAATAATATATCGAAATTGGGAATACGTTAAAATGAATATATATATTTTATATATTTATATTTTATATGTATATTTTTATTGAATTTTGGTACCTAAAAGACGTCAAAAAAAAACCGTACTAAAAAAACCGCAGTGAAGAAGAAATTAAAAATTAAATGAAGTGCATAATGAAGTTGATGAATTAATGAGCAACGTAATAAACATTTAGAAATTAAAAAAATTCCGCTAACAAAAAATAGAACACATAAAACACTCAAGAAACATATTACTTGGATCAAGGGAAGTTGTAAACAGAGCAATTTTTAATGGGGCACCAGTTATTAAATGATTATTACGTGATTCAATATTTATTTCTTTGCAAAATAGGTATTTCTAATTTGCATATAGCATATAATTTATTTCAATTGAATAAATAAAATATATTACATTTTTGAGAAAGGAATCAGCAGCTTCATGAGCCACATTCATTTACATGGCTTTCAGAAATGCAGAGTTTCATACGGTTAGCGCAAAAACTTAAAAACTTTAACCATCTTTTCGACATTTCATATATATAGAATATTCTAACTTAATGTTGACCATTGAGCTTTCAATTTTTATAACAACACTCAAACATTACATACCCTTCACAAACATGGTGTGAAAATGACATTATATTAAACCTTTAGGAATATATATGATGCATAAAAACCATAAAAAGCATATCAGAGGACACTAAGTATATATGCAATATATTTTTATGGTAAACTTGATCAAATATTGTTTCTGTTTTTGAAAGCATTAAGATTACAATGTTTGAATGAACTACAACTAGTTTCTCAAACTAATAATCAGTTACTATATAATATTTATAAATAAAAAAAAAAAATATATGCAAATTCCCTATTTTCATCATCATCAATTAGATCATGAATTTTTTCCGCTCAGAAGATTCTTCGTTTACATTCTCATAAAAAACAGATTTATTCATAACTATCTGCATGTCATTGCCCATTTCAGCACAAACCAGTCTAAAGTTAATAGAATAAAACTTTCTCGGAAAGCACCTGGAACATATATTACAACAATGATTGAATATATTCCAAAGTAGTCATTTTAAATATAACATTAAAACTTATTTTTATATGGTTTATATCAATAAATATATTTGGATAAAATTTTAAAATCTAATAAACTTAAACGTTATATAGTTTTACATTTCCTAATTATTGACAAGAAAGAATTACAATAACGTTACTTCCTTAAATATGTCATTAAATAAATCATACAATTATTTCTGTAGCAATTATTATACATATATGAAGAAGTAAGATTACTTTCTATATATTTTTATAAATTCTGTTTCTGATTTATTCTGATACATGAATGTCAATGTTTGTTGAACCATAAGAGTTTTTCTAAAAGCAGGATCTCTGATCTCTGAAGAATACCAGAATAAATATTTTTAAAATCAGTTTTAGAAAACAGTTTTTGCTTTTTTCAGATTTATATTGCATGACCACAACCAATTAATTTTCGCATATTTTGCAAAAATGTTCACCTTCTCTATTAATTGTAGTTTATTTAACTATCTTATAATTATATATTTAAACATATATATTTATGCAAATGGTTTTTTAATTAATTAACGTAAATATATTCTATATCTAATAGATCTGTGCGAAACAATCGATTGGACGATCCTCGCGGTTCACATAGAACGCGCTCAATTATTATGTACGGTCGTAGTGAACTTGCAAGCACTGCTGGAGAGAGTTCACGTTCAATAACAAGTTTTCTTCAAGACTCTAAAGAAAATTCGAAGGTCTTAGCTGACACCACCAAAAAAGATGTTCAGCGTATCAGTAATAGCGTTCAGGCTCAAATCGAGCAATTATTTACTGATGTTGCTAAAGATGCGACAAGTAGCTTCGCAGTAACTTGTTTAGGATCTTTGCCACTAAAAGATAAAGTAACAAGTCTACAAGGCCTACAACAACCTTTGCGTGATCTTTATTTAAAAGAGAAACATCCTGAGGTAAAATTTTTTTATGAATTTTAAGTTTCTGGTATAATATTATAATCTAAATTATAATTTTTTATATAGGAACGTTATTCGGGATTTTTGGATATTTGCGCAACAGGCTTACGAATAAAAATGAATGCTATATCGTACTCACCTTCGAATTATAAGACCAATGTAAATAAGGACGAAAATATAACACCATTTCACAATATTGCAGTATGGTCTGCTGTAAAATTTGTTGTTTCAGAGGAGGATGGAGGCGCTGCATTTTTGCCATTAATAACTGATCCACAAAATATTGATAAATCTTTATTGTTTGAACCGTTAAGGTAGTGTTTCACATGTCTACTTTTATTTACCACAAATATTTCATTACATTTCATATATTTCATAGTATGCTAATTGTGATATGAATTTCTTTGTTTTATTTTATATTTCATAATATAGTCCAGCAGCAAAAAATCGGTTTTCCAACAGCTCTCATTCACCAATATTTGCAGTTGTAATGCGATCTGCTGGTCTCCCGAAGGTGCTTGAATGTCACGGTTTTATTTGCAAGAGCACTGAAGATGCCATTGTGATTGCAGCTACATTATATCAAAGCCTAATGGCACATGTGCATTCTGATACGCATCGCAGTAATAAACGTCGAACACCACGCAATCAAAATGGTGTGAGCTGCATTAGTATTGCTAGTAGTTCAGCTTTGACTGGTTCCAATTATCTCACACGTTCTCAAGTACTTCCTAGTGGTCGCAAAAGTTCATTTCGCAGTTCAAACGGTAGTATCACGGGTCCGCCAACATCTGCCCGTTCTACACGCAAAAAACGCATTCCAAGTAACTCTCTTGGTGCTAGCAGTAATGTAATTAATGAAATTGTTGAAACATCAACCGAGGAACGAAAACGTAGTTCATATAAATCAAAGCGTGCTCCACCGATACCAACTATTACGCATGATCCTCTTCACGGCAATGGTAGTTATAAGACTGTTTCAACAAATAATGCATCAAAAGCATATTTAGACAATTTTAACGGCAGCTATAAAAATAGTTCACGACTGAAAAACTTAAGTGACAAAGTTTATTGCTCTTCAAATATGATTGATAATGAGGCAGGAGTTGCAACATCTTCATCAATGGGTATGCGGAATGAATCAAATGGAGATATTTTAACAAGAGTAGCAATTCCGAGATCAGGTAGTTTTCTTAATACAGGAGGTTTAACTAGATATAAATCTAGAGCTGCACGTCGACAGTCCGACAAGCCGGGCGGAGGTGGCGGAGGCGGTGGGTAAGTAGTGCCAATCGCACAACTGAGAATTGTTGTGGAAGCACTCTATATGTGAATATTGTTTTGTTCAAATTATGCTTCTAGTTCACCACTTGGTTTCAGCGAATTATTTAATGAATTTCGACTTAACGAAAACTTACATTCATTGGATGATATCTTATATGCCATAATTGATGCCGATGGGATGTCTTTTAATAACTTAAAACCAATTTATAAAGAATTTTTATTAAAGCTGGCAGTCACTCTTACAAAAGATGAGCTATTTCAGCGATCAAAGAATATCATGAAGAGACAAAAGAAAAAAAAACTAAAGAAAAAGACTAGCTCTATAGGATCCCAGGTAAAGCTTAAATTAAAATTTAAAATTATGTCACAATTTACTCACAAAATAAAAGATCTCTTAAACGGATACCGACAAACCCGTCATCTGTGTTAGGTTCAGAAAACAAGTTATGTTAAAGAACATACTTTTTACTAAAAGTAATAGCAAATTTCACTGCTACAAGAGATATTCCTTTATGCAAACGTCCGCTTAATAGAGCTATCACTGTACTTAATAATACATTTGCAAAACTAAAATCGATTGTAAGAAAAACAACCTTGATGTTACTTTTTATACAAATTGATTTAAGATAACTTAAAATAAAAATATAATGTAGTTTTTGAAGTATAATCAAGTTCAAGTTTAGATACATACGTAATAAATGGAATAAGTAGATATTTATAATATTTTCACTAACATTAAAGGAAAAGACCTTCACACACACAAATTATGATAAGTATTGTAGTTTCAAATTCAATGACCAATCTTTAATATTTAATATTACTCAAGTTTCATTTTATAACTTGGTGATAATATTATTTTATATAAAATACATATATATTTTATATATATTATATATATTTTATATAAAAATCCACCAATAAACCGTTCATAAATATATATTAAAAACGTAGTCAAATCTATTGAAATCAATTTTAATAAAATTGGTATTATGCGAATAATGTATATTATAAATAAACTATATGTAATTATTTTTTATATTATTTTTAGAAACCCACGAAAACGATAATTTTTGGTTCAAAAAGTTTAAAAAAGGTTTTTCAGTTGGGACAGTTTCGCTCTTGTCGTGGAAAGCCACCGAAGCCCCCTCGTCATAAAGAAAAGGAATACAAAAGAAAATCTGGACTTCCTCCAAATATTGGACCTCCGGTACCAATATCATCTATGCAACAGCATCAAACTCGGCAACGCAGTCGAGTAGCAACCAGTGGTTCAGATGTTTCAGGTGCTCACAATGAGAATACGTTCCGCGGTATAAATAGGAACAGTAGCAGTGGGTATGTGCCGAAATGGTTCGTTTTTAATAAAAAATTAAAAAAAAAAATATTATTGCATTAAAATTATTACAATTATTTAGATATTTTAAAATCATCTAGGAACAAATACTTATAAAACTAAATGCGAATTCTAATTTCATGTCCTTCAACAGCTACGTATCGTGTTCCGAATGCAGTTATGATTCAGAAGCCTGTACTTGTAAATCCGCTGACCGTTGTTACTGCAGTCTACGTACTGAGCTAGCAAATGAAAAGAGAAACAGAAAAAACAAACAGAAGTCAGCCATTTCAAAATCATTCAATAGCAAGAATCTTATAATGCATACGCCAACTATAGGTAACAATATAAATCGCCACTCACTCATTTCTTGTAAGTCCGATGACAAATGCTACTGCTCAATGGTTGAAGAAGAACTGCAAACAGCAGATGAATCTCTTCATTCGCAATCTGATACCACCTGGTGTGATACTGATAGTTGCGTTAGTGCGAGCAAATGCTACTGTAAACGGAACGAACTAGGTGGAAGACCATTGAGTTTAGAAAATAAATCAGCAAATCGTCGTCAGTCACATTCCGTGCCACGTAAGTCTTCTGATAAACTAGCACTAGATTACGAATTATTTACAATAAATGGAAATACTAAGCCAGTACAACCTCATGAAGCTTTGAGTGTTAAAAAAAGCGTCGAGGCTGCCGCTATATTTGCTGATGTTAAACTGAGCCAAACTACAGATATTAAGAGCCTCTGTTCGTCATCTCTAACAGAACCCAATATTTCGGATTTGAAGACAATAGACAGTGAAGCACACATATCCTATTTAAATAAATTATCCAATTTAAATAAAAAAACGGACTCAATCAGTGTTAGAAGAAAAAATGAAGAAAAACAATTGCTTCCATTGTATTCATGCTCTTCACAAAAGTCGTATAGTGCAGATGACCTACTTGCTAAGCTAAGTTCCATTGAAAAGGTGGCTGGAAATGGATCTTCTATCAAAAGTACATCTAGTAAACATTTAAAACAAGCTACTTATCAATCAATGCGTGCTGTAAGCTCCTCGTTAGAAGACACTTTAGGTTATTTGCCATAAATAAAAAAACTTGAGAACCTGCATTTATTTATTATAAGAAATAATCATTTTAAACTAGTACTTTATTTCTACAGTTAAATTTTCGGCTTATGTTTCTTAATAAAATATCATATTTTTGTGAAAGTTTTTTCAATAAGTTATTGTGTTGAGAAACGTAATCTTATATATATATATATACTAATATATTAAATTAATTGGATAATTTATGCTATAGATATAAAAACAAAAAGAAAATAGTTACAAAATAAGTTATCATATATGAAGAAGTTAAACATCTCAAATAAATATATATAAATATTAATAATTATGCAGTTACTAAGGTTATCTATAATAAAATACATCTACAATTAGTTTTCATATATTTTAATATCATAAATGTTTAAAAAATATTTATTTTCGACGTGCAATATTAAATACCATTGATTTATTTAAAATGTTTTTATTTTCATGTACTTGGAAGTAATAAATGAAATAAATTAAATGAAATAATTTCAAATTTCTTTAATCTAAAAAAAAGTTATCTACATTATGGGGGTACCGAAAAGGGTCTAAAAATGAACATAATAATATTTTATTTCAAAAACAATATTGTCGTAAATCTAACTCAAACCATTTGAAAGATTTAAAGGATTCAGGCCAAATGATTCGTCAAATATAATGTTGTCATATATTTAAATATATATATGCATTCTTTTCTTAATTAATATACATATCAATGCTATATTATCTTAAACCTATTTGTTGACAATAAGTTTTATATCTATCATCCAGTCATAACATCTATTTAAAAGATCTTTTATGTCGAATGCATAAGCTTGCTATATTCAAAAATAATAAAACAAAACGGCCAAACGGTTTTCAAGATATGGGCGAAAAACAGCTTTTGGATCGAGAACCTAGTAGTAGAACCATTCTAAATAGATGTATTTTATAGTTCTTAAGACGAAAACACATATATGTTTGTCACAGTGTCGACAGTGCAAGCATATGGATTGCTATGACTTTACAAATTTGAACAACATAAAAACATAATATTTGAACTACTTTTAAATCACTGTGTTTTATAATATACCCAGTTTTTAAGAAATATTTCAATAGTTATTAACAAAATCTTTTAAAATTTAAATGTTCCAGTTATACTGTGATATAATCGAATACAACATAATTATATACATAAACCAACTTTTAAGGATTAATAGCTTAAGGAGGGTTTTAAAGTAAATATAAAACTATTTAATTTCAAAAAATGCGTATCTAGGGATGGAACTTTCAGCCCCAAGTACCCGTCCACCGTTTGTATACGTCATTGATACCAAGATATTTTCAACAACCACATTAAAATAATTAAAATTTAGAAAACAATTACTGCTTTATATCAATAAAATATTATCAGCTGCTTTTTAAAAAGAGATATGACAAACATTAAATTTTCAACTTATTCAACTTTATTTATTTAACTGGTATTCTGGTATAAATTCTTCAAAGTAGAACATTTATAAGTACTCATTCATTCCTCAGGTATGAAAATAACTCAATTTCTGAAAAAATTAAAGAACTTTAAGGCCTTTTTTTTCTTAAGAACGGATCCAACACATTTGTCTTCTATCGGGTACACTAATAATGGCAGATGTAGTTAACTAACTATAGTAAGAATTAAACACCCACAGGTACTACGAATTATGTATTTATGATCTATTGTAGTTCTCATATATTTCAATCAATAATCAAATTAATTATGGTTTGGGCTAATCAATGCATTGATATAATTATAATGAAAAAACTACTATGTATGAATACATATTATTATAAACGTGTTTAAATAAATTGAATACGTACTTGTTGTTTATTTATTTCCCGGAAAAAAAAATTTATGAAACACATAAAAAAAATATTATTTAATAAATTTCACATACTGCAAAGGTCAATGCCAAGAGTAATATGTACATAATAATGTACGTTGACTAGAAGAGTCATGAAATTTTTCCTTTCACTGATATGATAAGAAATGTTTCTCTCTCTCTCTCTTTAATTCAATATTTTATAGAGTTATAGATCCAACTAATATTTTTATATTTTTTATATTTATGATAGTAAAATCTCGGAGCTTTAATAATTGTTTACATTAAACGAGAGCTTTAGTTTATTGCGATTAGTGAAATAAGCAAGATGCCCGCCACCGCTGATAGCGTTTTTCTTGCTCGTTCTGAGGGCATATCCGCCGAAGGTATTAGAGATCAATATGCTGATGGCAAAGCAGCAAAAGTATGGGAAATTTTCATTGGGGATAAAAATTCACGTACTGATAACTATAAGAAGTTTTTGATTGATTTGTTAAAATCGAAAGGTTGTAAAAGACTGCTGGATGTAGCATGTGGGCAAGGGTAACTACAAAAACATTTCTTATATTACAACACATAAAAATTGTATACATAAACAATATTTTCATAATTAGAGTGGATTCTATAATGTTATTGGAGGAAGGTTTTGAAGTAGTTTCAGTTGATGCCTCGGATAAAATGTTGAAATATGCATTGAAGGAACGCTGGAATCGTCGGAAAGAACCTGCATTCGATAATTGGGGTACTTAAAATAGAAGTCAAGTGTGGTAAATATTTTAAATTAAAGTATATTTGTTTTTTTGTTATAGTGATTGAAGAAGCTAATTGGCTCACTTTATACGATGATATTAAAGACGAAGTGAAAGAAGGTTTCGATGCTGTTATTTGTTTGGGCAATTCATTTGCTCATCTAATGGACAGTTTTGGTGATCAACGTGAGCATAAACAAGCAATTAAAAATTTCGAAAGGTGTCTTAAGCCAGGTGGTATACTACTAATTGACCATCGTAATTATGACAACATTCTCGAAACTGGATCTACACCAGCAAAAAGTTTGTACTATAATGTAAGTGATAATTATGAACGAAATTTACAACTCAATTATATTCAGATACATAACATAAGTTGATATTTTTTGAAAAATGCACGCACTGTTAAACTAAAACCAAATTTAAGAAAATCTTATTTTTTAATGCAAATTTTTTGTATACAATAGACAAAGTTGACGAACTCAAAATTCAAAGAATTATTTGTAATTCTAATTTACTAAGAAAAAACTTTAGATATTCAATAGAATTGTTATTGTAAAAGTATTTAATTTTTTTAATGCAGCGCAATAAAAAATTCCACTCAATTAAATATAAAGTCAATATAAAATAATTTGTAAGAAATTATAATATTTTTTCAATAATAATTACAAAACGTGCTCTGACTTGCAGTTTGCTATTTCATAATAATCCAAAGTAAAAATTTAACCTTTTCTAATGTCAACTGATAAGATTCATTAAGATGAGACTTGCTTGACTATGCTTTGATTTAAAAAAAATAATCTCATATAAACTTCCGTTTTTCTTTTCATTTTAGACAAGTCATACCGCTGATATCAAAACCTCCGTTTTGTTTTATTGTGGCAAGCCAGCAATGGTAACGATGGATTATCAGATTGAGGCAAATAATTTGACTAACGAATTTCGACTCTCGTATTACCCTCATGAGCTAAAGCAATTTACTGAAATTTTAAAAGAAATATTTGGCAGTAAAGCAAATCACAAACTATACGCGGATTTTAAATCATTGGATGTTGTCAAAACGCCAGCTTTTTACATCCACTTAATTGAGAAGCTTTAAGCCTAGTTTCACTAGTTTCACACAAAAATTATAAATTGTAAATTTTTAAAATATAATTTACGATATTCGTAAATGAAACACTTATATATTGTTTTTAGATTGTGTATTTAGCGAAAAATTCATTACAGTTTTCACAAAGCTAATTTAGAATCGATTACCACATAATCGATTAATTAAGAATAAAGTATTTACTTAAAATTGCGCCGAAAAATAACACAACCATTGATGTTTCCACTACGAAGGCCATATTTGTTTTTATGAAATCTGACATTTTTAGAAATACAGTTGAGAGTCTTGAAATAATTGTTGATGACATGGTTTCCGAAATAAAACTAAAACCATGAGGCGACAATCAAAGTAAGAATTATTCGCTCTAAAAAAAATTCAAATTACTAATGTGAACTTAATGAATATTTAGATTTTTTACGTAGTTGCGAGAATGTCTTAAAAAATAAAAGCAAAAGTTGTGAATTTTTCATTGTGAAATTCACAACGGTGTAAAAACTCTATATTGCCTTGATTATACAGGGTATTAACTTGTAATTATGATTTCAATACTTTGTGCCATGAAACGAAAAATATTGTAATAAAAGGCATTTCATCTTCCTTATGTATATAAGGAGAAATACAGAGTGCCAAAAAAGATGTTTATTTCAAATTAATTTTTTAGTTATTTTCTATATGAATAATTATTGAATTTAAAATTGGTGAATTTAATATAATATTTCCGACAAGTTTGCACGGCACACCAGTTTTTTTTTTCAAATTGATTTTTTACTTAGAAGAATTATAATTATATAAAAAATATAATAATTTTGGAATTTAAAATTGGTGAATATTTCTGAAAAATAAAATACTGTTATACAACATATGAAAACATTTTAAGATACGATTTTGAAGAAAATTGCACATGCTTTCTGAAATTATTATCAGTCATTTAAAAAAAAAATTTAAATTAGAAATGATCTAAATTCCCTGAAATACTGGTTCTTAACATTTACTCTTCTTAAAACAGTTCTTCTTCTCGTATAGTTTTGGCGCTTCGTTAGTAGGCTATGGGTTTACTGAAATTGAAATGCAAAATTCAATTTCAAATATTTTCAGTTTTTTAATTTGATTGAGGAAAACACTTAAACACTTACTTTAAACAATATAATAATAAATTGTTGTATATGTGTATTAATAAATCATTTCATAAAACATTAACATTTTATATTTCTATCAACTATCTCGATCTTATCATATATTCAACAAAATTGTACAAATTTGTCGCGTGACAGACATTGTATATAACAATTAAAAATCTGTTATATATCGTATATATGTACGGTGATATATACATTAAATATACAAATATGCATATGTATATGTATAAAAATTATTTGCAATAATTAAAAAATATATGCCTTCGGTTAAGTTTTGGTTTTTCATTCTATTAATTTTATATTAGTACATTTTAAATTTAAATACTTAACAATCAAATTATACTATTTCTTATTAATTATATAATAATGTAACACTACTGTATTAGTAAATAAATTAATCCTTAAAATGTTCATTCTTTCACAATTTTAGGAGTAACAAAAATGCTAATTTAAAAAAAAATTAATGTGTATTACCTAAAGCCTTTAAAAAATATAAACAATTAAAATAACAGTTTAAATAGTACTAATAAAACATAATGTCATTATGTGTAGTGTTCACAAATTTTTCGAATGGTGGGACAAAGATCAAATAGATTCGAAAACCAAGTCAATTTCAGAATAGTCCAACCGTAGCTTTTAGCAGAAACATATTATCTCTATCGTGTTCATACAACCAAGAAAGTTATACATTGTTAATATACAACTGAATCGTTAGTGTAATATTACCATGATATATAATATACACTTATGCAAACTTCTTTTACTCAATATATTTGAAATATGCATTAATTTACATAAGACTAAATATTATTGACCAATAGCATGGTCAATAATATTTATTTTCTAGAAATTTTATCGGTTATTGAACTTATTGAAAAATACTCCTAATAGGTAAACATAAAAATAATATATTGTAAGTGTAAAATTAAAAAGAACTTTATTAGCACTTGTTGAAAAAAAAAATATTGGAAATAATTATAATTTATTACAAAAGTATGAAAACAAAACGAATAGGATACATTTAAATGATATTTGGTGTAAAGCAGTCGTTTGTAAAATTATTCATTTAAACTTATTTTATTTGGTAGATAAATTTATTTATCGTAATATAACAAATACAATTTCTTAAATTAATTTAAGAATTAATTTTTATTTTATAGAATTTAATATTCCACAATTTCTTAAAATTGAAGAGAAATACAATCCAAATTTAGTTTTCTCTCCTAAATACCTGAAATAATGGTGTTTCCTTAAACTTAAGTGTGATATCTTCCACAAAAGCTAAATCTTTATATTTAAAGTTTGTTGTAAAACGATAGTTTCTTAATAATTTAGCTAATGTAATCTTTACTGATATAAGTCCATACTTCCAACCTTACAATAAAATATTATTTTAAAATAATTAAAAAAAAAATTTCATTAAATTTAACAAACCTATGCAATTCCGAAGTCCTTTTGTAAAAGGCATAAATGCGTATGAGTGTTTTTCTTCTAAGTTCGTTGGTAAAAAATTTTCTGGATTAAAATTCCACGCTTCATCTCCCCATATATCCTTTCTTCGATGCATATGGAAAATGTCAATTACGACTTGAACGCCTTTTGGTACAATTGCTCCATTTGATAAATGTATATCTTCTGCTGTTTGACGCGCAACCAATGGTACAGGTGCCATCACCCGCATTGTTTCATTTATTACCATATCCATATATGTCATTTGTTTAATATCAATATAATTAACATCAAATTCACCTTGATAAGGAAAAATAGAACGAATTTCTTCAAAAACTTTTTCTTGACATTCTGGAAACATAGATAACATCATTAACGTATAAGCAATGGTGTTTGCAGTCGTTTCAAAAGCCTAAAATAATAAGTCTTAATAATGCAAAGAGAAATACTATTTAATTATGAAGTTTCACCCCAAATACTATAACATTCGATTCGTCTTCAACATTCTGCATTGTAAAATCACCTCGTTTTAATAATTCAATCGCTATGTTTATAAATATATTCTTGTCTTTCTCTTCGATTGGAGTATTGGTAGATAGTTTTTCTTGTATCAACTGAAAAATATTTTAATACTCAATTTATATTTGATTATAACAAATGTAATAAGAAACTTACATTCTTAATAAATTTTCGTATCTCATTTTTTGCTTCTGAATATGGCTTATATGTACCCAGCAAATATTGTACCCATTTATATCTTAAAAGCGGAGAAAAACACATTTCAGTCATGTGTTCTAAAACACTGTTGCTTTATTATTAACCGCTTTAAGCTTAAATTAAAAAATATTTACCACTGATAGCATTTTATAAGACTTTGTTTTTCTGTATTTTGAATTCCAGATATATTTTTGCCCATTGTAGTTTCTAAAAATAAAATTAAATTCATTATTAAGCGTATTAGGTAATAGGAAAGTATTATCTTTTGCATAGTCATTATCACAATTTACTTACGTGCAGCTATATTCAAAGTCACCACTTGAAATATTTTTGTTAATTCAATTTCGCCTCTTCCAATATGTTGATCTAGTATTCTCATCAACTCGTTTATATTTTCATTAAATATAGGTATGAAACTTAATAAAATCTTTTGGGAGAATGCAGGATTTAAAAGTTTTCTATGTACATGCCAATCTGGATCTAATTTATAAATAAGAATGTTAAAAGCTTAACAAATCTTTGTATATAATTACTTTTTAAACTAAATAATCCATGCCCAGTGCCATCATCTAATGCATCGTATATTATTCCTTTGTTTACACAGTGTGATGATACCAAAATATCTTGCGCTATTTGTGGTTCACTTACCACTAAGAAAGGAATCGGTCCTAACCATGACAAAAATACAGGTCCATAGATTTCTATATACTTAGAAAATGTTGGCAGAATATCTAAATAAAAATTTATTTAAAAACAGAATGAGTATACTTTGAACACAATGAATTTTGAAAAATTATTTTTGTGATTTGTTTCATTTTTGTACTCGTAGAAATTGAACTAAAATACAAATATAAAGAAAATTCCATAGTAACGTTGCGATTCAGAAATTTGCTTTTATATATTAGCTTGTTATTAGTATTGACACATTTAAAAATATAAATTCAAGAACTCAGTCTACCCCCAAAAAGATTTCTAATTATTTTTATCACTCGCTATAGCACTTAGTTCACTGAAAGATTTTCCAGACTCTCTGTTGATTGTCCTTCTCCATGTAGTCTTTGGTCGACCGCGATTTCTTCGTTCTTGCGGATTCTAGTTTTGAGCGGCATGTGCGATTTTCCTGAAGGAATGTGACTCAACCATCCATATGTCCTTTTTATGATTTACTTATTAATTGTCTTTTGTTCTGTTATAGCCCACAGTCGCTCGTTGCTGATCGTTCTAGGCCATATATATTAACTTATATGTCTTTTATTTGTAAGATTTTATATTTTTTGATGTACGGCATTAAAAAAAACCCTACATATTTCCCCTTTTTCTGGATGCCAAGCTATAGCCAGGAATAATGTCCTTGTTGAAGCCCATAATGAAAAATACTCTAATTCATCGTGTTAGCGTCGTTCACAAAAGTTTAATCTTTGCCCGTTGTCGTTGTAAAAGATATTGCAGAGCTCTCAGCTTGATTATTTTAATTTTTTTATAAATTTGATACGTGACGGAATTTAAACACAACTATAAATATTTACACCTTGCATAAAGTCAAGTGTCTTTTAACTATCTTTAGTTTTATTTATTTTTTATAATAAATTTATTATCAGTGATGAGGTTTGCAATTGCCTTAGTGATAAAGGAGATGCAGTTTATGCATTGTGGCATTATCTGTCTACACTTCTTCAGATACTAAAAAATAGAAGAGGTACCAACCATCTCTGTATTGAGATATATTGAATGATTTCTTATTTACAAAAGATCGTGAATATGGTTTAGAAGATTTTTGGATTCCACAATACAGTGCTCCATAATATATTTACAAAGAAACCATCCTCTTATTGAAAAAGAGTTTGATGATAGAATAATCTCTAGATATAGAATTGTTCAGTGATTTTCATATATGTACCAATAATCATTTTTTATCGATAATGCCATAAAATTATCTACCGAAAAAAAGAAATTGATTAATTTTATTGCCATTACGGCCCTATGCTCCTCCTTGGAATTTGTGCTTAGCCATTTTTATGCTTATAGTAGAGAGGAAAGATCTATCTTCGTTAATATAGCATATACATCTTGAAAATATTTAATGAAAATATATGTTTTAGCACATTTTAATGTTTAATGTTGTTGTTAAATCGAGGTAAAAATTGGAATAGAATATAAATATTGATAAATTTCTCCTAATGTAGATGAAACCTAAAGTTGTGAATTTTTATCTATTTTAAGGATTTGATGCTGATTTGATGATCATATCCATTTCTTTTTTTCTGTTCAATATTCTGAAGATCTAGATCTATAATCTAAAGATCATTTAGAAAATTACAAATATGATCGCAAGAAATGTTATACGATAATTCTAGTGAGCAAAAATTGAAAAAAAAATTTATTATAATTTATAAAAAATTGCAATAACAATTAAAAAAAATCAATAACAATTAAAAATGAATCACGTTTGTTAATTTATGGTTACTAAATCCTCCAAAATATAATAACAAATTTTAAAACATTTATCTCAACGTAAGCTTTTATTATAAGTCCTTAGCGTAATATTTCAATCATTTTTCTCAACATAAACTTTTATTATAAGTCCTTAGTCTGATTTTTTAATATTAAATTCACAAAAACTGAAAAGGTATATCACAGAGCAATACGACACATGACATAAACTTCTTCGACAATCGGTGTTGGCATATGCAAAATTTTTATTTATAAATTAAATTCGTTAATAAGTTCTTTTGTATAACTCATAACATATTTTAGGTTCTTGACTTAAGTAAAGTATCTCAATTAATTTTTAAAATTTATTTTTAAAATAAATATAAATATTTTTCAATGTAAATTTAATATAATTTTAAAATTTTATTTTTTTATTTTAATTAATTTTTATTTTAATTAAAAATTCGTAGTTCGGTTGTTGTGTTTTGCGTTCCAAAAAAAATTCTTTATTTAATGTTTATTAAATACAACATCTTAACTATATTTTATAATTTAAACACTAAGAAAAAACCAATTTTAAATATTACTTAATCAAATATTAACATTTTTAATATGTAATAGAAATATTGTTAATATTTAATTTTAAAAATAAACATTTAATTTAATACACATATTGGATTTAATTTAAATCCTTTACTACTTCAAATTCATATATGAACAATTTTCTATATCTACTAAATAAAAATGTAACTAATATTCATATGATTTCTTCAATGGAAAATTAACAAAACGAAATTAACAAAACGAACGCACGTAGGATTTTTTAAGTTCTGATTGTTTCACTGAAATGTTAACACTAAAATATATCTTTATATATATTATTCGATTTATGAAGTTACTTATGATATTTAGATATCTGTGATTCTAATTTTTTTATTTTATATCATTTTCTTTATATTTTTTCATATACATTAATAAATACGTATCAGTACACTTTACATTTCACAATGAATTATTTGGGCATAAGGATAGTTAAATAAGTATCATTAATTTTTCACTTATTAAATACACAAATTTATTACAAATTTAGATTTTATTGCAAATTTTTACTTATTTTTAATTTTTTTTTATTTGGTGTATTAAAAAGTATTAATCATTTTAAGCTTAAAAAATTCTGAATCACTTTCAAAATGGTGGAATTTTCTTTTAAATATTTTGCGATTTGTTTCGTTACACGACAAAAATATGTTAATGTACCTTCACGATACATCAATTGCAACAGCATTCCCAAAATCGGATAACCTAGAGGTCCGGGTAACTTTCGAGACAGCAAATAATATTTTCGCCGTGTCCACAAGATATAAATCCACAATAAAAATGCTATTCCCAATATTAACTGTAATGTTAACATCATTTTCTTTTTATTTTACAAAAAAAATTTAACTATCCGAAAATTAAACCAAAAGACAACAAAGACGATCACGAACTGTTTAAAATTAATTTTAACTTTACATATTTCTTTTATATGAGGAAATTATATTTTTAAGGCACACCAACTCGCTACATTACTACACCTAAGTGACAACGCACAGAAAGATAGCAATGAAACTTCAAAAATATTAAATATTTTAATTCATGAATCGTATCTTTAATATTTTGATATACTCGTACAAAGTAAAATACGTTAACGTCTATTCTATGAGTCGAATAATTGCAATTATCTAAGTGGAATATAAACGACCCTTATTATAAATATATTTGTCAGTATATACACATAATTTGTAAGTAACTGAAACAACATTACTAAATTAGCAAAACGTTGATTTCCACATTTTGTGTTTTTGAATAATTTGGATGTAAGCGTAATATATTATATATTAATAAATATAAATTATTACGTTTTTACATAGTAGTTAGAAAAATATCGAAATTAGCTATGTAAAATCACCCCGAAGCTAAGTATTATATTTTACCATTACAAATCAAAATTTTAAATTATATTATATTATATTATATTATATTATATTATATTATATTATATTATATTATATTATATTATATTATATTATGTATTATATATTATATATAAATATAATTATTACTCTTTTATTATATTAAATATATTATATTTAATGTCTAAATGTTAAAAAATGTATAATATAAATAAAAAAGAAATTTTTAATATATAATACTTAAGGATGTATTAGAATTTATCATTATAAAAAAAATTTGTAATGGATCGGTGAAGAGTTTTTACAACAATAGTCTATTCTAACTTTGTCAATTTAAGGTTACTTTTTTTGGAATTTTATATGTACCTGTATATAATTAATTAACAATGATTTACTGTTCCATTTAAATATCATATCATATCGCTACTCTGCACTATTATAGTTATTTAGTTTAAAATCCGAATTACTTAACCTGCGGTTGAATTATATTTAAAAATAGAAATTTCATATTTAAAACCATTTCAATTTAAAACCGCTTCACAGCCGTACTTCATATTGTCTTATTAATATAATTAAACTGACAGTTCTTCTGTCTACTGTATGAATAATATTTTAGTTAAGCATAGGAAGCAAGCCAGGTAACCTTCATGGCCGCGCTTTGAAAATAAGGACTATACGGAGTATGAAATACTATCGTATGCAATATGGTACATGTCGTTAGTTTTATAAGATTTAAAAAATTAATAAGAATTAATTGCAGTAGGTTCCATTATAATGGAATATTTTTTTAAATGGTTTAGTATAATTCGTGATAGTCAAAAAAAAAAAATTAAAATTTAATCTCAATTAGCCCGTTTTATTTTATATCTCGTTTTGTACATTTTATGGTGGATTCTGTTTGCTCAATTTAAAATATTTTAAGTGATTTTAGTTATTAGTAGAGATTTGTTTAAACTTACATTTTTATCATAATCAAGGAATTCACATATTATAAATTACATATCACAAGTATATATACCTAATAAAAAATTTAATAGAAGAAGCTGCAATTTATTTAAGTTACGACTCCCTTGAATATTATTGAAAGAGGTTATAATTAATCCATCATCAGAATAATAGTATATTGGATATAACCAAAGATATAATTTTATTGTCTTCTAAATTCTCTTCAATAATATGAAAGATGTGTGTTCTGATTTTGTTGACTCCATACTTAACTTTAAACTCTTACTTCAACCATAGTTACTCAAAGTATCAAAGGGTGTAGATAATATATATCCTTAGAAATTATAAAAGGTTGCCAAATATTATATACGTTTATATTATAAACGTTTGCACAGTTGAGGGGGTCCCAAATATTAAGCAAGTCTATATCAAATCTTTCACTTTTAGTAATAAATAAAATCCTATACATTTTTATGCGTATGTATTTGAAAAAATATATAAATACAATATATTACAATTAATATATAAGTAAACAACAATTTGCTTGGACTAATAAAGCATATTAAACAATTTTTTTATTAAGGTTATATAATACGGGTATTTTATTTAAACACATTCTCTTAAACTATAAGCGACTTTTTCATAGAATGAAAAGCTATTTGTCGAAATTCCTACTGAGGAGCAAAAACTCATACGAGTACATCTCAGCAAAAGTCAAGAAAATTTTTTTTGATAATTTAAGGGTTTCAGTACTATAAACCTTAAATTCGGCGGAAACATCAGTTAAATTATTGTAAAGCCATTGCTCCATCTTTAATGGTATTAAGTTAATTTTCTTAGCGACTACATTGATTGTACCAACGGTCGACAAATCCTGTAGAGAAGCCATGATTGCACATCTTGTACAAGCTATTTGTAAAGATAGAAAAACATATTGCATCTACAAAAAAGAAAATAAAGACAGCATTTAATATATAAAAAAATTAGAGTTGGATATTTTTATTATATTTAATTTGGATGGCTTATTGACACATTTTAATTGGTGTCATATATTAGCTCTACTCTATTTTGTAGGTGGACGTGTTATATAACTGAATAAAACTGTATGAAATATGATTAAATTTACTAGTATTTATAAAAATTGACATATTTTACAATAAAATTTTCTCTATAAAATACTATATGATGTTTTACTAATTTTTTTTCACCCAGAATCGCTGACCTCTGGTCATTTAATCTGCTATTGTTACAACGAAGAACAACCAACGACCCATTTGTATGAAGTGTCAATAAGAATTTCGGAATTTCAGACTACAATAAATTTGAATATTTGATTAAATAATTCATCGCTTGTCCATTATCTGTTATTGATCATTTATTTTGTACTATTTATTTATTTGGTTCACCAGGTATATGGCGGACTATTAATGTCATATTTTTTGAGGCAAAAATTACGTATTCGTAAAGTCAACTATTATTTCTTCAATATAAATGGATATATTTTGATTGACAGCTGTACTTGCCAAAAAAATATGAGGAAACAAAATTACTATTTGTTACGGAATCAATTGAAAACATATCAATACGAATATTCAAAAGGTACTAGCAAAATTTTTATATGAAATCATCTTGAAGTCAATATACAGACGTATCATATCAAACCATATCAAAAAAATAGCATTTGAGAACGAAAAATAGCGACGCATTACGTTAGGACTGACCAAATAGGCTTCCATTGACGCCTGTTGTTTTCGTGTTTTACACGTGCAGACAAACGAAATTTATTAATTGGCTACGTCTTTATACACTTTTAAATTTATATATATTTTGTTTACATTTTAAATTTTTAATAATTTTTTATTTATTTTAATTTTGTTTATTTTTATTACTTTATTTATTTTATTAATATTTGTTAATTAGTAGAATAATAATTATAATGAGAATAACTTTTAAATATAACTTGAAATCTATTCAATTTTATTTACAAATTAATATATTTATTCTAATAAACATAAACATAAGAAAGCAAATTAATATGGAACATCTCCTGCAACTATTTTGAGAAAAGAGAACATTTGCTCTGTATCCTAAAAGATTTTTGACTTTTTATATCTTAACGTATACAAAAGTTTTTGCCTCGGATTAAAAATAAAACTGAAACAAAAATAAAACCGTTACATCTGAATGAATCCTAATTTTTTGAGTTATCGCCCTAACATAATTAAGTAACATAAATTTTTAATATTTAAAATAATATTAAAGTCTAACGAGGTTTTTCGAAAAGTAGTGAACTACAACAACAAAAGTTATTTTTATATTATTTTAATTAATTGAATTTTTGGCTGACCATACAGCTGTTTCGAGTATTGCCAAATACCCATCATCAACGGTTAATTTTTTGAGACTGCAAGTACCAGGAATCGAATTCTTGTCCTCCAAATTTGAAGCTCAGAATCAGCGCACCTTACCAACCGACCCCAAGCCGTACTTGACTTTTGTTTTCGCACTTTTTTCTGGAGTTTTGTTCATTTGCTGTGAAAATTTTTATCAACAAATTCATTTGCTGCATTTATATTAGAACGAAATCATAAACCAACTGTAGAATAGTTGAATTAATTAATTAATTATATTTTTATTTTTAATTGTTAAATTTATATTGTTTGAATAGGCATTATTTGTTGGATGATTTTTTAACTCTAACAAAATAAAAAAATTTCTTTTTTAAAATTTACTTTTTATTTTCTAAAAAAAATATCAAATAATCACATTTTCAAATGTTGAATTTCTGATTGAAATTCTTTCAACACTCTTTAGTTTTCAACGCTCGATAATGACGTCAATGACCAAATTTTTTGGGGCCTATATATGGTGTATTTAAAATTTTGTTATTAAGAATTCACAAATTACAGTTTTTTATAAAGTCTGTTGCACGTCACATTTATGTTTGAAATTCTCTAAATACTCTCAAGTTCATCCAAGGGAGCTTATTGCGCGTATTCATATTTTCGTCACAGTAATTGTTGGTCATATACAAAATAATGTCATAAAAATTTAATAGATGTAATCATTAATTTATATGCTTAGCACATTCTGTACAAATGAAGACTAAAACGTCAAACTATTTTTTGTATTATTTAAGCTCAATAACCCTGATTATTATTAATTACCATAAATATTTTTCAAATATTATGCTAATTTTAAAGGTCAATTTTTTAATATTTTCTTTTCTATTAAAAAAATTCTATATTGCAACTATATAAGTTGCAAAATGCTAAATGCATTTTACTAGAGAAGAACACTGTGACCTAATTAACATAGTAATCCAAAATTTTAAGTGTATACTATTTATGGTTAATATTATATATGTATATGGGAATTACTTATAACCTATTATAACTTATTTGTTATAGAATTAAATATTAGTAATATATTATAAAACGCAAATAACAATAACAAATAACAATTCTGTTCACCGTTTAAGGGGACCGTACTTTGTATGAAAACTGACAAATGGGGACTATTATCTCTGCATTGTTAAGAGATCGCCTATTCCACAGAGTTTCACTATGTTTTTTTTCGGGGTGCCCTTTTGATTTTAAAACTAGCAGAATTTACTACGTTATTATGACGAATACATAAAAAATCGTTATTAAGAAACTTACTAAAAAAGGGTCTGTTTGTAAAAATTCATTTTGTGAATTTTTTTTTATATGAAAATCACGTTGAATTACAAATGCAGCAAAGGTCAAATAGAATTAAATAATTTTTAATTTATTAATTATAATTGGTGCAATTATAAAAAATGTAATAATAAAAGTATGAGCTCCATCAACTATATTACATATTTCATATCTTTTCATAAAAACTTTAGGATGACCCAATTTTGGTCGAATGAAAATTCTTAATAAAACTCATGCTATTCCTTTTCACGGTCGTTCAATAAAATATAGTATACCACAATATTCAAAAGAGTTCTATATATGTATACTCGTATTTACAGAAACTTTAGAAGTCAAAAGTTACAATTCAAAATTCCTACACTTTTAATAAAATAACTTATATACACACATATCCTAGTTTCTAAAAATTTTATACACAGAAATTCACTAGCACAATAAGTGACAGACTAATATGTATTGAATATTAATTTACCGCGATGCATCTTCTATTTAATGTATAAAATATTATATTAATCATTATCATTTTATTTTATTGTTTATTGTAAAATTTTCTAATTACCTTGTATTTACTGTTTCCGGATAATAGTGCTGTTGTGTGTTTTAACAGTTGACAGCTACATATGGTAGAAACCTGTTTCCTAATATATGCATATGTTCTTAAAGTCATTCTCGTTCGATCTGAGAATAATCCAAAACCACACTTCAAAGACTGTATAACTTCATATACTAATTTCGATTGACGGCAAATGCCATAATCGTATAAGGATAAAATTAGATATTATGTAAATGAAGTTAGGTTTTTCTTATTAGTTTTCTTATAATTATTTATAATATTTATGTTTTATATATTATAAATTATTGAAAATGTTAATTTTGTAAATGTAAATATGACCTAAATTTAATAAAAGAAATACTACTACTACTACTACTAATTTCGTGTATAGGTTTACAGACTTCGTTCAAGTATTGTTTTAAGATCTCGTTATTACAGTTTGAACCTGGTGATCATCAAAAACTGTGAATTAATAGTGAAGAAGACGTAAAAGGACACCTGAACGTTCTTTGACGCATTAATGGGTCAAACATTTTTCAACTAATTGCTTTGAGATAAGTCCTATTGGCGATAAAAACGCATTGGAAAAATTATATTTAACTCTTATCCTGTGATATGTAAACGATACGCAACAAATGAAGTACCACAAGGTTCAATTCCAGGATCGATATTATATTTTGAAAAAAAATAATAAGAAAACCAATTATGCCGAAAATTGAGTTTTGCGAAAAAATCTGTTAGTTAAGTAGTCTCAAAATACATAGAAAAAGCCACAAATATTCTCTTTGAGAATATTCAAAGAGGTAGTACTGTCCAAGAAACTAATCTGTAAGCTGACACAGTTTTAAATAAAATTTATTTCAGTACTTTTATTTATGCACGTTCTTGACATATTTTTAAGTGTCAATATCAAATTACAATAATAAAATAAATATTTGAGAATCACTTTTATTTTACGGTTAATAACACAAAGTTAGTTGATTCCACAGCTTTTCAAAATTAAAACGTATTCATAGAATTTTTTCAAACATCAATCATGTGCAGTCATAGTTTGTATTAAAGTAGTGCGTTTCTGACTTTGATTTCTGATTGTGAGATACCTTAGCAATGCGTTAAACAAGTTGTTTGGTAAGGCATTGGAATGTATAATAATAATATGATTAACATTATTATTTACTATGAAGTACAATATTTGATTGACCTTCAAAAGATTAGGGGATTAAATTAAGTGTAAAGAAAGTAATAATTTAGAACCATTTAAGTTTATTAATTTATTAGTTATTGATTATTGGGGGAAGCTTATTAGTTTGAACCTTAATGACAAACATCAAGAAAAATCAAGAAAGCATATCTTAGAACCACAAAAAAAAATTCATATGAAAGTAAAGTTCATATATAAAAATTGTTTTAATAGTAAAAAACAAATGTAAGAAATTTAAGAGAAAAATATTTGTTTTTGTAAGCTATGCTTTATGGAGGCTATGTTTACAGTACAACTGAATTTGACAATTTCTTACAATTTTATTTAATAAACATTCTGTTAAATAAAAACTCAAAATAATTAACATATTTTAAGGAATGCTTAAATGGATAATATTATTATTACAATTGAATTTTTCAATTTCTTAATGTTTTATTTAAGTAAATAGTTATAAATCCATGTAAAAAAGCTTAAAATTAATAAAAATTTATATATATAATTTAATGGTAGACCAAACAAAGATTTTAATTACAATGTAGTACATGTGCCAGAATTTTAAGCGACTACGACTCCCGGTCATCATTTATTGATTCTGTAAAATAAATAAAACTCTTATTTAGCAAATAATTTGAACTTTTCTTATATAAAATTGCACTACAAACTTACAGTTTTAAAAAACTTAATTATTTATGCTATATAAATATATTATTGTCTCTAAAATTAATATCTACTTTATTAAAACAATAATAGTCAAGCAACAAAATTTTATTTTTAATCGTTTTTATTAAAAATTATTACAGAAAACTGAAATAATATTATATAATTGATTGGTTAATAAAGCGTAAACAAGCTCGTTATTTATGTAAAAAAATATATGCATATATTACAAAAGCAATATAAAATAAAAAAGCAGAATAAATCATTATTATTAAATTAATTTACAAAGGTTTTTATTTAAAAATACAAAATAAAATACATACTCATCGCCTTTGAAAAAATATTAAGATCCGCACCAAAAATAAATTTTTCTAAACAGTTTAACCCAGTAGCACCCTATTGTATATTTTTTATTTTATATAAACTATCAAATACTAAATATACTTGTTTTAAAAAAAATGTATATATTAGAAATAATTTTTCAAAGTTCTCCCGAGACATAATTAAATTAATATGTTTTAATCTTTGCAGCTAAATGCGTTCAGGCCACACAAAAGAAGTCGAGGTGAGTTAAGGAAATTTATTTTAAAGATGTTAGTAACTATAAGTGTTTAGCTGAAAGACTATTTCGCATATTATGGAATTATTGGCATCTTCACAATTCATTAATTAACCTTCTGGATAAAATGTTTTAAAAGAGATCAGTAATAATAACCCGTGTATGGAAGCAAAGCAAAACATGCAAGCAATTAAAGTTCATGAACTTAGTAAATTGAATAATTATATCGACGTTTACTTTGATAACTAACATTTTTTTCCCCTATTATTTCATTACTTAAGCCTCTGTCACCAAGATTTTGAGCAGTAATTAAAGAAGACATGCAATCCTTGTTAATTAAAGCAGTTTCCGAGCAAATTGGTTTATTAGTTATAAGCTGTCTATTAAAATTATCACAACTTTGTACTTTAATTACATTAAGACTTTTTACTGCATAGCATATTCGATTAAAAACAGAATTTGAATTAGTACCTGGACCGTCTGAACGTATCTTGCCATTCGAAGATAATACTTTTCCATTAGCAGAATCAATGTTGACGCCATGTTCATTCATAAGGCATTCTTGAAGCTTGGATTCTAAATTTTAATAATAATACATTAAGACCGAAAAGTTTTCGGAAATTCTCATTTAAAATTCGCGCGCTGTATATTTTTCGATATTTTAAGTTTATGTAGTTTGGCAGCAATTAAGGACAATTACTATGCCAAAAATGAGCGCGATCTGTCAGACAGTTCGTTTACGGCAGCTGTTGAAACCAGTTCACCTCAGTAGTGCGTTGCGAAAAAAACAATGGAAAAAAATATTGAACAAAGAGTTTGCATCAAATTTTGTGTTTCGAACGAAATTTCGTGTGCAGAATCGTTGCGAATGCTACAAAAGGCTTATGGGGAATCAGTTTTATCGAAAACTCAAGTTTATGAGTGGTACAAAGCCTTTCAGGACGGTCGTACGACCGTCGAAGACATTTCGCAACGCACTACTGAGGTGAACTGGTTTCAACAGCTGCCGTAAACGAACTGTCTGACAGATCGCGCTCATTTTTGGCATAGTAAATAAGGACAGTGCTGCCAAACTACATAAACTTAAAATATCGAAAAATATACAGCGCGCGAATTTTAAATGAGAATTTCCGAAAACTTTTCAGTCTTAATGTATATCTTTATATGATAAAATGTAAATAATACTCACCACTTTTATTCCAGCTGTTTTCTTGCACATCAATTATATCCTCTATATCATTTTTTTGTATTCTTAGAATATTTTTACTGTCCTGCTCATCTCGTACAAATCGAATCAGAAACAACATTCCTGCGCCAATTAAAGGAGGTATACCAGCAATTGTAAATGGAATGCTATATGAACCAGTAGTGTCGTAGATTTTTCCAGCAATTGGAGGACCAATAGTTAACGGCAGTGAGCTTAAACCCAACAAAAATCCAATAGCTTGCGTAGCGCCAGACGGTCCACATATTTGGTATGCTATCGGCCCCAGTAAGGAAATAAAACATCCATCAAATAATCCCATCATTAAAATAAAAACTATCAGTATTAAATAAGAGCTTGCTAGTGGAAGCAACATTGTAATTGTACCGATGCAAACAAGTGACAACTGTTGTAAATAGATGCGATTTACTCCTGGCAAATCAGCTATTACGCCAAATATTAACCTGCCAATTCCCGAAGTTATGCCTATACACATTACAGGTAAATTTTCGTTCTTTCCAGGGAAAACACTTTTCACAAATTTCATCATATGAACATATGGTACAAAGTAACCAAAAAGTGCTAATGGCACACATAACGCCCATATAACGTACTTCTTACTCTTCCAAATTTTTACATTTATCACAGAATGTAACATAAGACTTACACGTGAACGACCAGGCTTTCGTTTTGGAGGCTCCGGTGGAGGATGCAAAGGCTTATATACGAAAGAACACACAATAACGAAACAAGATAATAAACTCATTACTTGCAGTGTCATTTCCAAGCCGTGCCCTTCTAATAAATAATCCATTGCTGGTGGAAGTATTATTGTAAAAACGCTTGATCCTGCTGTAACAAAACCATTCACTTTTCCTAAGTATCGCTTGAAATAATGACCTAAAATAGCCAAAGTAGGTGTGTATGCCAACGCAGCACCAAATCCAAACATTATTCCATACGATATGTATAAGGTGCTTATGTTTTGGGTACAAAATGAAGATATAAGTAGTCCTCCTGTCGATAACAAACCTCCTATCAAAGTTGTTAATCGCAGACCAATTTTATCTGTTAGACATCCAGCTATAGGCGAAAACAAAAATGTTGTACCAATAGTCAAAGATCCAACAAGCGCTAAAACCAAAAAAGTTAACAGCTTTAGTACAAAATTTTTCACCAATTTAATTCTTAAATTTTTAATATTAATAGAGATGAGCATGATAATAAAAACCTTTTTCAGTATTGCAATAAAATTATAATTATAATGATAAATTTTACAGCTATATTAAATTGAGAGCTCTGTTCAGGCAGAGAATTATAAACATAAACAATGAATAATTATTGTGACTAACTACCAACAACGGATTTTATACCACCTTCACGAATGTCGTCAGTGAGCAAACTAAGGCCACGATTAAAATCATTGTACCAGTAGCAGCGTTTCACAATGGCAAAGGATAAAGTTTTAGCGCCAAATGTGGAAGTAACTTGATCGATGCACTCTTGTCTTGATAATCCACGTCCACGTCGAAATTCGTAATAAATCATCGCATGAAAATTTTCTCATGTTAATTCCATTTTTTCTCGAACACTCAATTTACAAATCACTGTAAATAACACAAATAACGCTATTTTGACAAAAAGTCTAAGGCAGGTTATGTTTAATAATGCCAAACTTTCATATGGAAACGTCAGATGACAACAATCAGTGTTTCCTAGGCTGAAAATATAAATAGTGACCCTCGTAATTGAGCATTTTATACAAATGCTAAATAGTTCATTAAGACAACAAGATCAAATGCAGGTCTGTATTTTATCCAATGAATTTGGTCTAGATAGTTTCAGAAAATCCTTAATATAATCAAGGCAGTGCATCAACAGTTCCATTACAGAGTGTTGTATAACGGGTTCTTGTGAAACACATTTGATGTAGAAAGATGATGCCTCCAACATCATTTACTTTGGCAATGAATGCTATTCCAAAAATATCAATGATGATGAACACGAAGGTAATATATCGACTAAACCATAATTATTTTCTACATAATGTAAACAGGATGGCAAAGATGCGAAAAGTTACATCTGCTTAATAGCTCCAAAAATGGAATCTGAAAAGCAGTCGTTGATATCAAGAACTTGGAGAAGAATAATACACATTGAACTTCTCACCGCTCAATATTACTCCACTGAACTTCTCGCCGTATGATTCACTTGAAATGATGGGCAACATAATGAGTATGCAGGCTATTGTGTTAGCCCTATGCTTTACGAGAAGTTAATTGCAAAGAAAAAATAATAGCTCTACTCAGGTATTACTCACAAAGAAGCTTAACAGTTAAGGAAAAAATTATTGAAAATTTTAGCTAACTTAGAATTTTTTGTGGGAACCATTAGTATATATGGGCATCAGAGATCATTCTTACTCTATTTTTATGTCTCTTAAAATAATTAGAGTTTTGTTAATGTCTTCAACCATCAATTATTGGTAGTACTTTAACTAAACTTCAAGACTATTACTATATATAACAAAGTGTTTTCATGTTGACTAGTGCATTTTTAATATTTCTATTTCCTATTGGCGTATCTAACATACACCGATTTTAAAAATTTTTTAAAAATGTTTCTTATATTTTTTAGTTCTATATTAAGATTTTTATTAATATTTTCTGTCGATATGAAACATTTTTTCAATATTTCTTTGAATAAAAATATTACTTTTAAACGTTTCCTGTTGTGGTATGTTACAAGCTTAATAATTAAAATTTTAATATACGTCAATAATAATCAAATTTGTATTAACACGAGATTTTGTTATCAATAACCAAAATGTCCGCTTAGGCAAACATCTTAATTATGTATTAATTACCATAATACTATCACACTATTATCAATGCTATCACCTAAAATATCAGAGTTTAAAAATATATGTTAACAATCATAATCATAAAAAAAAGCGAAACAGCATCTTATTGGTCCTATTGGTCCGTTTTATATATATACATTAGGGTGGCCGTTATTTACGAATGTATTCAAATTTTAGATTCCACCCCCTAAATTTATTCAAATACTCAAAAAACTACTAAATGTGAAGTTTTAGACTAATCAGATAATGTTTAGAGGTCGCTCATCGACCTTTTTATTTTTTTAATAAAAATATGTTAAAATTTTTCAAATTTTTGCTATATTTAATTTATTATGGTCTCCTATAGAAATCCTGACGTCATCTTTTTGTTATCGCAAAAGTCATTTTTTAAATGTATGAAAGCATCGATTTAAATTTGCCTGCTCAAATTAAAAATCATTCATATTCTTTCACTTTGGTGACTAAAAATTTACTTTCAATATGAGTCTCTTATCACATTTAGTTAGTTATTTGTACAATGAGTTACAATTTTCTACAATACAAAATACATTTTTAAATATATTTGTTTGTATTTTCAATAAATTTTTTCAATACAGGATCGATTATTAATTTCACAATCAAACTTCAAAGTGGTTAGTTAGGAACTGTTTCATATGCCTATTATATAAAGTAAACGTGATCAAAGCAAACGAGAAAACATTCGTGTTATTGCGTATTTTAGATGTGACTTTATCTTTTTTAAGATTTTTGAAAATCATAAGCTTTTTGTGAAATCTATCCATATTATCATTACTAGGTGTTTTCGTACAAAACACATAATTATTAGTAATATTTAAATAAGTACTTTTGCGTTATCACTGTAAAAACGTACTTCGTGTAACTCACGTAGAGATTAGGATTTTGCTTACCTTTATAATATCAATTGCTTTGAATTTCCTGACTTTTTGATGGATGACAGATAAGGATAATGGTAACTTACTGATAATCGCAAGCTAGTAGCAGCGCTGTCTCTTGAGAATATCTGCTGACATAACCTCCTTTCTGAATCGCAATGGTTAATAGACATATGTTCTAGTGTTATAGACATTTCCAAAAATGTAGATCAGTGTAAATTTATTCAAATAAGTTAGCTTAGTTTTAAAGTTCTTATAGCTTTGAAACAACTTATAAGATTGAAGAAAAAACTTTAAGATTGAAAAAACTTTACTTAAATCATAGACAGTGTGATTTAGTGGCGTCAAAATTGTGTCTAATTAAGTGATTTTGGTGAATTTGTGTATTTGCTACCGAAATTTATTTGCATATATGTATAGTAGTATATAGGATTTGCCTATTGTAAGCTTTTCTAACAATATTATCAATATGTCAAGAAAAAATGAAATGATAATGTGACGCAAAAAGTTTTGGGCAGTAACAAATATATGTGCGGTCTTTGGAATAAAAAGTATTTTGTTCTCAGTCAATGATTAAAGAATTTTTAACGTAGAAATACAAGTTCACTATAATAAAATATGCGCTTGAGCATATACATATATAGTATTATTATATTATTAATATATTTTATTACTATTATTTAATCCTTTTAATCCTAGGTGGAACAGATTTTATTACTATACTTGTATAATATACTTTTCCTGTTGTATATTATGCTTTTAAGCATACTGCTTTAAAAATACGATTAGTCATCGCTTCTAATTTGCTAGGTACTAGTTTTAAGCTTGGCACTAGTAATCCAAACAAATTATATATGGACTATAAACTAATTAAAAAATTCGAATAATTCCTAAGACCACTGATGACGAGTATTCGGCAATACTCGAAACAGGGTATGGTCATCCAAACTTCAAAAAATTAACTAAAATGTTTATTGTTGTCTTTACATTTCTATTTGAACTCTTATAACTTTTAAATAGTTTCTTTTCGTCATAAGACGTGTCATTTGAGACAAAAAAAATTAACATTATAAAAATCTTTACTTTAATGCAAACAATTTAAAAAGTTGAAAAATATATATATTAGTATTATATTCAATATTCAATATTTTACATTGCTGAAGAAAATAGTTTTCTTGAAAGTATTTTTTTATTTATTTTGTTATTGCACATATAATTTATTTATTTAATTTATTAGCAAAAAATAATTAAATTTCTTATGAAAGTTTAGATGGTTGAGTCTGTACAATAAGTAAAGTAGTTCTCACTCATAAAACACCATTTTTTTGGCTTTTTGTGATTTTATAAGGGTGTATTCCTATATTTGCTTATTCCTATATAAAAATTCAAATCTAAAAATTTTAATTAAATACATGACAAGTGGTTGTCAAGACTGTGTGCATAACACTATCAGCTGTCCACTTAGTATGTTAATTGACAGACAACGCCGCTTTGGGTTTCATAGGAACGACTTACTTCATAAATCAAATATGCACTAAAAAGCTAGACAGCAAAGTAACTTTAATCTTTTAACCGCACTTTAGGATCGAATAAAACAAAAAACAAACTACCGACCAACTAATCAAATTAACAGCAAGTTTATTGGGGCATCACAAACTCAATTGATTCAAACTGAAGTTGAATTTCCATATCTAAGCGCAATAAAACAAAACGATTTTAAAGTCGAGACAAAAGTATTTAATTACCTTACATGAACAATAAATTTAAATAATTTAAATTTTGCAAACAAAAGAAAAAAATTAGAACAATTATTTGTATATTTGAATAGACAAATGCATCTGATGTTGAAGTTATTTTTCTGACACATTTCTTAATGATTTTTTCTGATTAGCGTGTAACACTTTGATAAGAAGCATTGCAGTTCAGAACCTAATAAAAAACAAATATTTTTCTAAGCAAATCTGCAGCTATAAAAAGATATCTTAATAACTGTTTAACTAGATTACAGATTTGAAACGAAGTGAACTTACTGCAACTATGCAAAACTATATTTATAGTATATGAATACCACTTTTGTCAAATATTTCAAATTTCTAATTAATTTACTAATTTAATAAAGTTAAAGTCTGCATGTAGATACAAATATATTTAATAATATACATATATATATAAATATAAACATATTTTTTGATTTTCTTCAATTTTTTAAACAAATTTAATGATTATATTTCAGATATTATCTAAACATAAACTTAGAACTATTCTTATTATTATTAATATTGTTGTCGTTCCATTTTTTGAAAAGGAATATTACTTCTGAAATCTATTGGGCTACTGTTATAGAAATTAAACTAATCTAACCCGGACAGATAAAACAT